ATAGCATATATAATTAAAACACGAATAATATATAGCTAACAACATTATTAACTAGAGCAATAAGCAAAGTTGGAAAATACGTGGCATTTAATGATTTCATGGACAACAAAAAATATAAATTTCTTGGAATTTGTCTGACGCGTTGAGTTACTGTTAGCGAATCCACATTTAAGCACAACAACACAATATTTATTTGATTTGTTTCGTTTACAACCCATCGTGAATGTGAATAACTGGTGGTCTTTAAAACAAACACAAACTCTGCTGAAAAGTGTGCTACTGTATTTCAAAGTTGTTTACTTATATTGAGCACGGGAGATTGCAAAAGGCAATAAGCTGCGCAATAGATATAGCAGTTTAAACACTGCCATCGGCCCACCCACCCAACAAGAAATATTATATTTGGTTGTGCAAAGCAAAGCAATACATTTGTTTAACACGACACATTATTCAAGAGTTACGACCAACACGCAAGCTCGATAATCGTACTATAACTTTCCTGCAATGAGTGTTTTGAGAAATTATTTATCCTTTTCCTGCGACCCAATCATCTAGAATGCACGTGATCTCATCAGATCTTGGACACTTTACAGGATTGGGCCTAGATAGTGCTTTTGATGGGCAACCGTCATGCACAGCAGTTGTTATAGGCTCTAACAATATATGATGGGCGGTGCTGCAAAATTTACTGTTGTACTGTACTTCTATGCACCCACATCCATGCTCCCCCTCCTTCACCAACCCGCACGGTGAAGTATGCTTATACATACACCAAGAAATGCATGACATGGGGAGGCCCTCATCCAGCAGTGGATTGATAAAGGCCTGTAAAAATACAATGATCATTTCTTGATTTGAAGCTTTCGTGACTGCAGGAATCCATACTCTTTGGTTCTTTCGGTAAATTCACGTAGGTAGAAAAATAAAATAAAACAAAAAATAATATATCACGACGTTTCGATCGCAACAGAAGCGGGCGTCCTCAGGCGGAAAAAAATCATCCAGCAGTGGAAGTGCTGAACCAGCGAAAGAGCTGTTACAACAACAAGAGGTAAAATAACATCTCTCTCGCTGGTTCAGCACCGCTGGTTCAGCAATTCCACTGCTGAGAGAGCTGTTCCAACAAAGTTATATATGGTTATACATGTTGTAACAGCTCTCTCGCTGGTTCAGCAATTCCACTGCTGAGAGAGCTGTTACAACAAGGTTATATATGGTTATACATGTTGTAACAGCTCTCTCGCTAGTTCAGCAGTGGAACTGCTGCATTATTTTTTCCGCCTGCGGACGACCGCCTATGTTGCGATCGAAATGTCGTGATATATTATTTTTTGTTTCGTTTTATTTTTCTACCTACGTGACTTTACCGAAAGAACCAAAGAGTACAATGATCATTTATTTAAATCAAGGGTTTGAGAGGCTATTGTACCAAAGAGACGTGTAAGGAATGGAAATGATTTACAGAGTTAAAAGCAATATAGATCAAATTTTGATTTGAAGCTTTCGTGACTGCAGGGATTCATATTCTTGGTTCTTTCAGTAAAGTCACGTATAAGGGAAACAATAAAATAATATAGATCAATTAATGATCCTCTTTCTTCGATGTAAGGATTATAAGAGGTTGGGGCATTTATATCTGAGGTTCTTATAACACAGAGGTGCAAGTAGATATTCATCAATCTATCAGTGCAAATCAAGTGTTAGGAGAAATCTTTCTGCTACAACTCATCATCAGGAATGAAGGCGCATTTGTGATATGCTTTAATATCATTTGCCTGTTAATGTTTAGCGACATAGCTAGCTTCAGTTAAAAAGGGGAATGCAGGTAATACATTCATATTCATATTCCTGTTAGTTTAAATGTAATAATAAATCTTGGTTTAATTTATCCACGAAAAAAAACTTTAAGATGGTTCTGCATTGGGATATTTGTGCAATTCCACAAAGGAGTGTTTGACAAGTGGGAGGCAACTGTAGTATCCAGAGGAAACCCATAGATTAAACCGGGGCTAATGTTCAAAGCTCCACATATATGGATTCAAGAATCCATTGATATACTGCCATCTTCTAGTCACCACGCAGTCCAAGGGCACAAGTCCTGATGTTCTCAATCAGTCTCTCATCCAAGCATTGAACAAGCTCAACGCTATATTCTTGGTTCCCTTCAACGTGACTTTACCGAAAGAACCAAGAATATGAATCCCTGCAGTCACGAAAGCTTCAAATCCAAAAAGCTCAACGCTGCTTGCCTTCTGAGATCCGTTGGGAATGAGTACATTCACGGCGATTTGGTCATCAGGGCATCGTATTCAAATTATAAACAGTATTTTAAGAATATTTTGACAAAATATAGCATTTTGTTATGATTATACCATACTATTTGTGTGTTTAGGTGCATCAATCATCGGCCGGTCAATGGTGGTTTTGGTGAAGGGAGTTGCCCCTGTCCAATAGTTCACCTCACCGCTTCAAGGCCCTCAAGCCTCTTCACCACGGCTTGGGGAGGCCTTCATTGACCATGACTGATCACGATTATTACGACGTTGAGTTTAGTGTGCGTTTAACCTTCATGGTAAAACAAATAATTTCCTCCAATTTTTTTGGCAACGTCATTCTGAAAGAGTAAACTTAATGTTAGACACCAAAAAAAATGCTCATGCGGTTTCCGCTCATACAACATTAATCCTGCGATGTTTTACGTGATGTAACATTAAATATTAAAGGCAACTTTAATCAATGATTCAGCTTCGATTCGCACAGCGGCAGGGTCACATTCCCGCCTCGTGTTATATAACAACATTCACCTGGAGGCAGAGACGCGCCACAAAAAAACCAATAGGTTTATAATATCGCATGAAATAACGCTCAGCTTCATAATATTTATTTGGCGAGCTGTAACAGGAGTTCGGTGCCTCATGGCCGCAGGTGTTGGCTTTCAAGCCGTTTTGCCGCTGCCATACAACCGAGGGCATTCATAAAAAAAAACGAGTCAATAATGAAAATTCTTATTTCGGTACGCAAAGACAGCGGGTCCCAGTGACACAATAACCGTGCGGAAAATTTAGTGCCACTGCAGATTAAAGCAGAGGGCCTCGTATCAGGTTTGTTTGATGAAACGAACACTCATCCGTTGTGGACACGATGCGAAATCAAGCTTGGTTTTTATTTTTTTTACCTCACTTGGCCTGGAAATTGAGCTTTTGTCTTCGACGCAAGCATGGCGGCGTGCACCGCGATTATGACCGGGCCACTTCGCTGTATGCAGCGGTGGTTTAGCCATAGGGAAAAAGAGGGTGAAGGGCACTGTACCTTGACAGGCCCCACTAGGAGAAGCCACAGTCATGGTCGGAAGCTCTGCATCCCAAACGTCAAGGAGCATAAACCATCACACCAACTCCCGGTCATCCCCGCAGCGGCTTTTGGCTGGCCATCAAACAAAGACGGTCACTGCATCGCTCGCTTTCAGGATGTGCTTCTGTGGCCACCTGGAACGCTCTCTTCCTTTCAGCATTAGGAAGCCTCTGGAGCTATGAATATTTAAATCTCGATTGAAAACTCGTTTCTTTCGATCTGTATTGTGTTTGGTTTGTTGTCCTTCCCCCGCACCTCCGATTAGCACGGCCGGCTACGTACAGTGCGAAAGAAGTAAGTGCACCTGCCAATGGCGAGCAATCCGTAACATTTGTTCTCACCTGATTTGATTTTCCACAGCGTTGGAACGAAAACCAGAAGGAATAATTGGCACCGGTCGAGACTACCGGCGGAGTGACAGCCAACGAAGAAAACACGCTCAAGAAGACATCCACAATTATATTCTGGTTGCGATTCTGGTACAATTGCAAGAAACACGAAATTTTAATTGCCATTTGGAGCTCTGCAACTATCAGAGGATGCCACCCTGTGTCAGAGAATGGCTCAAGAAATGTATGTCACAGAACTACTTCTGAAGTAACGTCAATGAACCTCTTTACCCACACCAAAGGCATAGCTTTTAAAGCTGCGGAAAAAAATTGTTCCTTGCACGTCAATTAAATATTCAAGACAATAAGCCGAAGTAAACAACTGAAATCTGAAATCTATATATAGAATATAAGAATATGAATCCCTGCAGTCACGAAAGCTTTAAATCAAAACTGAAATCTACTTTGTTATTGGTTTGTGCAGTCACACTGTGACCACACTGTGACCACCAAATAATCACACTTGAGAAGCACAGTTGGCTCTGAACCCGACTTGAACACAGCCTCTCAGGCATGCCGACTCAGTGTTCTAATCTCTCTCAAGCGTCTGGCCACCTCATCAATGTATAGTTTCAGGGCTTAACTGCTGATAGACTCTTGACTTAAAGCTTGCGGGACTGCAGGAATTCATATTATTTTGGTCTTTCGGTAAAGTCACGTAGATAGGTTCGAAGAAAATAACAAAAAACAAAAACTACGACGTTTCGATCGCAACACAAGCGGTTGCCTTCAGGAAAAGGGGGGTTAGCTTCCAAAGGCTGTTTATAAGGGTTTGAAATGGACGTAGCCCAAATGTCAGCAGCCAATGTTAGTGCAAGTGGTGGGCAGCCAACCCGACGGTGGTTGGTTTTCCACCAATCAAAGGGCTGCCAGGTGACAATTAGCATGTTAATGTGGGATTAGCATGTTAATTGAAAATTGCAGAGCCGCAACTGAGGGGTAGTCGGCGTGCGAAGTGACTGTTTTGGTGTGAACCCTGTGAAAGCACAACTAACATCGGACGGTGGTAGGATGGGAACATCACAGCTAGTTATGGCTTAAACTGGTTGATAACGTCCTTCCAATGATTGCTCAGTTTGTACTCATATGCTGATAGACTATTTCCTAGGGGCTGCAAACATCCTGGACTCTGTTGCCCCTGACAAGCGGGGAAATATTATATGTAGATCATCCCCGGACAGCTACGGCTAAAATGAAGCCCTCTGTAGTTTTAAATTCTGAGAGTGCGGTGCTTTTTCCTTGCAGGGCGCCGCTGGCAGGATGGCTCCGTTCCAGAAGGGTAACGTGCCCAGCATGGGCAACACGATCGTCCGGCCATCTCGCAGGAGGACGGCCAAGTATCAGAACATGGATCCCTCTCAAATGATGGCAGTCAGGCAGAGCATCCGCAGCTTCAACATCACCACGCGGATGCCCTCCTTGCCAGCCGAGCGGCTGCTGGAGCTGCCACTGCGCCTGTCCCTGGAGAAGCCACTGGCCACATCTCAGAATGGAGACAAGAGTGACCTCTTGACCTGGCTCCAGGAAAAGCACCTCATCACTCAGAATGACACATTTCTCACCGATGGCAAGGCCGAGATTATGCACAACGACCAGCAGGCAGACGGAAAGGTATGGGAATGGAGCTCAAGGAAATCATGACAGCAGGAAGAGGTGGTTTGGTGGTGGGGTATACTCCTGCGTGGATTTTCACGGTTGTGCCATACGGCTCTCCGACGTGTTTTCGGGTTGTACTTGATGTTGTTCAGTGCGATGTCCGACGTTTTGCTCCACGTGCAGGGCGCTTCTTCATAGTCATCGTGATCAGCACATGCTGAGAACTTCCCTGCACGAAGAGAACATCTCAGCATCGTGCAATAAAATGTCGAACATCATATCGGATAATACGTGGTAAAATTCGAAAACGCATCGGAGAGTTGAGGTGCAGTACACTGCATTGCTGGTGAGCTGGGTTTAGCACCTGACCAGTGGCAATTGTAATCTGAACTTGTCTTTGGGCTCTCTACTATGATGATGATAATGATCATCGCCATCATCACAATCATCACCATCATCCTCGTCGTTCATATGTACCGCACTTCACAAGTGACAGCATATCCCAAAGCGTAAGGCAACTGATGCAGATCAACTCAAGCTTAATACGAGAATCAGGTGCTGTAATGTGAACATTGGCATAGGAGAGACAAAAGCGGTCAGGCATGTTGCTGGCACTACGACCCATTCATTCGCACTGTCAGTATGAATAGATGCTCACAAACAGCAGTTACCCCTCCATCCAGCCTATAAGTCTAAAAGTGGGAATGTTGTGTTCGTGTGCATGTGCAGTACGTACTCCCACAGGCTCGTACCACCCCTGGCTCAGCCTTGGATACAAGTTGGGTGGCCACATCGTGGCGTAAACCAATTGGCAATCACATGGTGTTCATCGTCATACTTGCTGGCGTAGTTTGCGAATACCTCTGTTCTTTTGGGGGCCGAGGGTAGATTGCTGCATATGTTAGGAAAATGTTCCAAATGTGGGGTTTGAGGATTGCTACCAGCCCAGCTGAGATCATGGCTGCTCAACTCTGGCATCGACAAAAAGTGTAGGCTTTTTTTTTGCTTTATTCTTGTTTTTTGTGCAAGGATTTCATGGCACATGTTAATACTACAGATCAAAGGCTTTTCTTAACATGGTGGAGATTGCACGTTACTATATAAAAAAACGGGTTTTTCCAGTTTAGGCCCACTAAGCTATATAGTTCTGTTTGTTTATAAGTGACCTGGCCACAAATGATAACTCAACGAAGTGGCTTATCACGTGGAAATTTATAGCAGCCAAATACTCGAAACGAATGTTTATAAATGTGGAGGGAACCGGAAAAAAAATCCACACTACCACGGGGATACCATGCAAACTCGAAATATACAGGTGTCAGGTTTGGGATGGAACCCACGACCTCCTTTATGTCAGGCGAGCTAGTTAATATCTCGCCACCACGGCGCCCATTACAAATTACTCTCTCTCACTTTGCAGACTTTTGACGCCATCACGTGACTGTTGATTTATCGACACATTTGTCATTTCGCTTTAAACACCAGAGCTAAAAATGTTTTTTAAAATAAATACATCCAAAAACACAAATGTTTTTATTTTGATAGTCTGTGATCCGACACGGAGAGCAGGGCAAACTCTTCCTGGCGTCATTGGGTGGTTGTGATTGCTCCCTAGGGGCACGTATTGACGACGGACGGTTGAATGATAATATTTCTCAAATCATTACGCGACTATTGATTTTCTGAAAGATGTTTGTTGTCAACATCGTCATTATACTGTTTACGTATTGAAAAATGTTGTATATTTACCCCTGTGTACTCTACGTGCATTTTCTGATCAAGGGGTCATGGGTGGTCAGGACAGCACCAAACGCACTTGCCGAGATACATAGTTACTCATCAATAATGGTTACATCATACCAATCTGTCATATGCGTCTGATTTGAGTTGTATGATGGTGAGCATTACACAACAATTAACACATGCCATACATAGGCTTTCACGGCCAATATTATGGCTCATCATTGGTTTATATCGGGTGAGGCTGTATAAAGTTGTGAGATTGCTCTCCAACAACACCGGTGGTGCGTGCTGCTGAAGCAGTGATAACGTTCGCTTCACGTGACACTTTTATTAATTGGCTGTGTCGGGTGGAGGAGGCTTTACGACACATTTATACACCACTTAAACCTAAAATAAACCAATTATGAATCGATTATGAACACAATGAAAACGACTTCACATGTAAATTATAAACCTAAGCAATTGCAGCTCAGGAAGCTACATGATGTGTGATAACTGAAGGAAAATTATACCACATTGTTGTCACCCGCACCTGCTTTCCCGCAGCTATTTTATATTCCAGGTTAAAACTGATTTATTTTAGTCGGAGGCCAGCAGACCACGACTGAATATGTTTTTTTTTTCAGACTTTTAATCACAAAGATAGAGAATGTTTTTCGCTGTCTTCTGTGACGTCTTGATGATGGAACAAAGTCTATATGTGAAAGTGATTTCTCACTCATATGAGCATTGGGCAGTTCTCATCTTTTTGCTCACAGTCCCGGATGAGTCATGTAAATTCCACATTCCTTTGGCGAGGGCACGTTTTTCATTAGAACTCGTTTTTTTCTCTCTTCTCCACGATTTAACTTTCCACAAAGTCATACCAACTCATGACTGTGTATCCAACCCCAGAGCATTTTAAACTCGAGCCAACCCCACGAGATTCGAATTCACAATCCTTACTATTGTAGGCCACGTGCTTGAACCACTGCACAGTCTGGATGCGTGGAGATGACACGCAGGCAGGAGAGAATTGAGGAGCGTTCTGGAGAAAAAACAACAACTTGATAACCCACAAAATCTCATCGCCCTCATTAGAATCAGAATATTTTTTTTACTGGAGGAATCCGATGAGCTATAAAGCTCTTCGTCACAGATGTTCCAGTAGGGGACACGAGATCAGAACGACGCAGCAACAACAGAAACACACGACAAGAGCGCAACGTTCTAGATTTGTAGTTTTCGTGACTGCAAGGATCCATATACTCTTGGTTCTTTCGGTAAAGTCACTTATGTGACTTATGTGACTTTACCGAAAGAACCAAGAGTATGGAGCGCAACGTATAGGCAAAGTAAACAAATCGTTGTCCGAGCACTATTCACTAATCCCCTCTACCCCCCCTCCTCCACCCCCGCATGTATGGGTCTGCAGCAGCAATCGTACTGCGTGATCACGACGCGCTTCAACAAGCCCTTCATGTACCGCATGAGCAGCTGCCGCGCCCTGCTCATGCTCGCTCCGCAGAGCCACGTGCGCTGGCTCGCCGTGCGGCTCATGACCAACCAATATCCTCCTCCTTCATCTTCACGCGGTGCCGTTGTCAACGAGCCCCCCCCCCCCCCCGCCCCCCCCCCCCTTACGCGAGAGAGCACGCGCAGAGTTGCGGAGAGCCCACAACAACAACGACGACGACGACGAAAAAGCGAGGCGTGGAGCTGGGTGGTTGGTAGCGTTATTCGGGCCACGGTCGCTACTCGTGGTGTAGGGTTAGGGGTTGGTTTAGGGTTAGGGGTCGGGCTAGTACGAGCAGCTGGTTGGATATTTTGCATTTCGAAGGGTGAGCTCTTGGTGACTGCTTGCATGGCTGGTTGGTTAAGGGCTAACTTCAGTGACGGGGCGAGTGCGGAGTGGATGTTTGGCCATCAGGGGCTTCGAGTTCGGGAGAGACTCGTACCGGGTAATTGCTTGGCTCTTTGTTAACGCGATTGGGAGGGCTATTGCGAGTGGCCTGTTTGTTAGCTGGTAGTTTGGGGGGTATTTAGATGGCCGTTTCTTATTTTTACTTCCTTCAAAGGAACATGTATCTTACTCATTCCCTGCAAGGATGGACAGGTTTGGCAAAACCCCAACGGGGGATCTTGACCTAAAGCTTTCGTGACTGCAGGAATTCATATTCTTTGGGTCTTTCGGTAAAGTCACGTAATTATTTTTGTTATTTTGTTATTTTCTTTGAACCTATCTACGTGATTCTTTGGTTCTTTCGGTAAAGTCACGTAGAATGAGAATAAAATAATACATTGATAAAATAAAATAACACAATAATATTCTCACGACGTTTCGGCCACAACACAAGCGGCCTTCATCAGGTGAAGGGACGAGACTGTCAGACAGTCTCAGACAGACTGTCAGACAGTCTCAGACAGACTGTCAGACAGTCTCGTCCCTTCACCTGATGAAGGCCGCTTGTGTTGTGGCCGAAACGTCGTGAGAATATTATTGTGTTATTTTATTTTATCAATTTATTATTTTATTCTCATTCTACGTGACTTTACCGAAAGAACCAAAGAAGATGAATCCTTGCAGTCACGAAAGCTTTAAATCGAAATCTATCTACGTGACTTTACCGAAAGACTCAGAATACCCAACGGGGGAGTTGAAGCTGCGAGGCTATCTCTGCCTGTCTCTCTGTCTCTGTCTGTCTCTTTGTCTCTGTCTGTGTCTCTGTCTCTCTGTCTCTGTCTGTCTGTCTCTTGTCTGTCTCTTGCCTGTCTCTCGTCTGTCTTTCTGTCTGCCTCTGTCTGTCTCTCTGTCTCTGTCTGTCTCTCTGTCTGTCTCTCTGTCTCTGTCTGTCTCTCTGTCTCTGTCTGTCTCTTGTCTGTCTCTCTGTCTGCCTCTGTCTGTCTCTCTGTCTGTCTCCCGCCAACGCGTCTCGTGCCTGCTCCACCGGGCTGGGGGCAGAGACGGGGTGGAGCACACGCAACACAACTCAACACTCGTGTGCTAGGGGCCATCCATTTAGTGCGTACGCAGGGAGGGGGGTTTAAAAAGTACGCGTGCCTACAGGGAGGGTGGGGGGGTCAAGTTTTGACAGAGTTGTGTGTAACTACTCAATGGATGGCCTCCTGTGCGCACTCCGTTATGACCTCCCCCCCCCCCTCCGAAAGGTAAATGCGTACACGCGCAACCCATTGGCCAATCCACTGCTGGATGACAACCTGCACCCCCCCCCCCCATAAAAAGCCTCGCCGGGCCTTGAGGTTGATTTGACGGAATTTCACCACTCTGGTCGATGCGAGTTGGCGAGGGCTGGCAGCTTAGAAGTCAAGAGCATAGCAGTGCTGTACAACGGTGGATTCCGCTGCGATTAGGGCTAAACGATTTGGGGAAAATATGTAATTGCGATTTTTTTCTGATGGATATTGCGATTTGATTTGCGATTAAATTGTTTTAAGTCAAGCTTCAGTTCAATATTCATTGTGTAACAAACAGATTTAAAACATGTGATGGAGCATTACCACGTGATACCATCACAATATGAACTGCTCTGTATATTCTAATGCAAGGATGAGAACTTCAAATATATGAATTACTTCCAACATGTATTTATTAAAATGTTTTAATCGAAATAGAACAATCAAGCATGGAACAATTAAGTTAAATAAATAAAGTAGTAATAATAATAACAAATTAAACAATTCCAACAAGAAAGTAACAGGACTTTTCAAATCGCAAAAAATCGCAGCCTTTGCGCTTTGCTACTCGCATTGTTTCAAATTGCGATTTTGATTTTAAATCGATTAATCGTTCGGCCCTAGCTTGCGATCTGCTGATCACAACCCCGCGGCCTCTTACCAGCTGTCGTGCATGGCGATTGCCCATTGAAGAAGCCCTTCCACGGCAGGCTCAGATCCCTCTCTCTCTCTCTCTGGCACTTCGCTGCTAAGATCTGACGAGACCGGGCGCGTCGTTCATCCTGGGCTGATTTGGTCGCGCGGCAACATTCGGATGGTTTTGGTTTTGATTTGCCTCGTTACGCAACACGACACCGTTTGGGTTCAGCTCGAGATGCCCTACAGGGGAGCTGGGGAACGAGGGAGGCGGGCGAGTGCTGTCGTTTTTGTTCCTTGACGGCGAGAACGATGTTCGACTCATTCATCATCCTGACGATCTTCGTCAACATGATCATCCTGGCGACGAACAAATCCTATCCGCTGGCCGAGTAAGTAAAGTAGCCGCCATCACACGATTGAACGGTCCACAAGTTTTGTTATAATTGTGTATTGTTATTGCTTCAATACGCATGTAAAGTTCAGGGGCTGCGAACAGGGCCATGATCACGTGTCCCCGATACCGGATAAACATTTAACTGTGGTGGCAGCAGGAGACGACGAGAAGATTGTTATTGTTGTCTTGTTTACCCAGGCAAGTGTTACCGTCTTCCAGATTCTTTGTTCAGGAGGGTCGTGCCAGGTTTTATAAGTCGGGAGCGATGCTGCTGCTGCTTTGTGCAATATCACAAATGAGCATTTTGCAGGCAATTTTTTTCAGCATTGGGATGTTTGGCCAAGACCGGTTACATTATATGATTATATGAATATATGATTATATATTATATAATATATGATTATATGGTCTTTATAGGAACATGGGGGGGGGCACACAAACTCCACACAGAAAGAGGTCTGGGTAAGAGACTCAATCCGAAGGCATTCTTGCTGTGAGGCACAAAGTGTGACCACTGAAACTACAGTGCTGCCTTGTCATTGTTATCATCACTATTGATCCGATCACTGTTCATGCTGAAGTATAAAGTTAAACATAATGCACTGTAAATGTATGAGTATTGTGCATCATTGCCCATATTCCAAATGATATAAATATATGACAACTGTCTCTTTTTGTCTAAATATATTTTTTGCGTCTATGTTGTAAAGGAGGAAATACTGTTAATCTCAGTAGATTGTCGCTCGCTTTCACTCAAGACAAATCAATCAATTCGTCAATTTTGATGCCAGGATAAAAATGTATTGAAGTATTCCTTGCACACCTTGAAATATAATACGGTGACTGTGCAACTCTCTTACCAGGTGGTGTTATTATTTATATTTCCATCCTTTGATATTTTATTATAATAGGCATTATCACATCTCAATAATTACTTATTGTCACATAATGCACTGCATAAAATAACAATATGTAATTTTGTCAATCCATTACTGAACCACTCCCCAAGCCTTCCTGTCAAGTAGGTTGTTCCAAAGTCAAAGTGAATTCTTGCTCAAATGAGCATTGAGACGGTGCTCATCTTATATTCACAACCTTGATTCGGTGGTGGAAATACCACGGGCAAGTCTTTCCATGGGAAACCACTGTTTACTTCCCCACAAAGTGGTACTCAATTGAATTGGCCCCGGTGGGATGATGGGCTGAGTCAATCCCAAAAAAAGCATTTGGACTCTGCAACCTTCCCTTTGAGAGCCGTTTGCTCTGCTGCTTAAGCCACCAGCTATGCAGGATGTTGACAGATCATGATGGGTTCGTATATCACTGACCACATATGTCAGCCGTGGCCCAGAATCACACGCAGGTTACACGTGTTCGTTCATAAGGCAGTGCACTAACCACAGCCCCCGCCACCACTCCCCAGGGGCTGTATATTAGTTTATGTGTTTTTTATTCACAGTTACATTTTCACGGCAATCTACACGGGCGAGTTTCTCATCAAGACGCTGGCTCGGGGCTTTGTCTTCCACCCGTACTCTTACCTGCGCAACGCGTGGAACTGGCTCGACTTCATCGTCATCATCCTCGCGTCAGTTGCGCCAATTTTCTCATGAAGCAGATGGTCATCATTGCCAGCGTCATGGTCACAATTTGAAAAAAAATACTCACAAATTACCCCATTGGAAAACCCCTCAAACTGCATCGTCCCCTACAAGGAGACTGGTGCCCCATTTTCAGGGCGATGTTGCATATACCTTGTGCCACATAGGTACAGCTGCCACAGGGGGTCTCCCTGGCTAGCATGTGCTGATCTCGTCACCCAATCTCCGGGGGGTCATACTCTCAGGCACGTTCTCTCCTTTGGCTGCCACTCCATCAGCAGTCTGATGATCATCCCTTTTAACAATATGTCATTACCAAGCACACTTACTTTTGTTCACAGTCAATGGTACATCTCAACTTTTTGGTTTGTACCCTGATTCATGCATTCCTTAACAACAAGAACATTAACATCAATCCCCATGATTTCCCATACCTGTTGTGCATTGTATAGTTAAACTTGCTCGCGAATTATTCAGCATGCTGACATTTCATAACGTTTGTTTCATATAAACGCGTGTTATTCACACATGTTATGGAAATGTTGTAAGGATGAGCTACTAAAAACATTATACACTGACCTAATGTTAGTTTATCGACATGATAAGGACATGTTATTCCCGTCCGTGAGTCAGCCTGCTTCAGTAAATTACTTGCATAAGTAATCTTGTTGTCGAGTTACAGGCTCACCCGGACCGAAAGGAACCTGGACCGTATGGTAATGATGTTGATGAGCTATGTATGTTATGTTAAACTTAAATTTCGATTTAAAGCTTTCGTGACTGCAAGGATTCATCTTCTTTGGTTCTTTCGGTAAAGTCACGTAGAATGAGAATAAAATAATAAATTGATAAAATAAAATAACACAATAATATTCTCACGACGTTTCGGCCACAACACAAGCGGCCTTCATCAGGTGAAGGGACGAGACTGTCTGGTAGGACAGCGCAGAGTGTTGAGGCCGGATCTCAAGGTCGGAGTGTTGAGGCCGGGTCTCAGTGTCGGAGTGTTGAGGCCGGGTCTCATTGTCGGAGTGTTGAGGCCGGGTCTCAGTGTCGGAGTGTTGAGGCCGGCTGTCTGGTAGGACAGCGCTGTCCTACCAGACAGTCTCGTCCCTTCACCTGATGAAGGCCGCTTGTGTTGTGGCCGAAACGTCGTGAGAATATTATTGTGTTATTTTATTTTATCAATTTATTATTTTATTCTCATTCTACATGACTTTACCGAAAGAACCAAAGAATATGTTAAACTTCTTTCGCACCGCACGTAGCCAACCTAGGTGGAAAAAAAAGAACTGACTGAAAAATGTAACCACACTTATCTCATGGGGTTTCATGCAATTCTAAACACTGTTAACATTCCTCTGATTTTATTAGACGGCAGCTGGGAATAGTTTTGTAAAATGAACGAAAGTCTGGGAAACATGTGGAAGACACAATTGGAGTCTTTGGAGAGGATGGGGGGGGGGAACCTTAAACCGTGAGAGTTCACAGGGATTTTCTCAATTTTGATTTAAAGCTTTCGTGACTGCAGGGATTCATATTCTTGGTTCTTTCGGTAAAGTCACGTAGAAGGGAAACAATAAAATAATATATATTTTTATTATTAAAAAAATAGGGATTTTCTAGTTTATAAATGTCGTGCAAAGTGTGAGTGTGTGCAATGCACTGCTTCAATGTCCACTGTCAAATCGTTTAAAGTTGTCTCTGTCGTTGCTCGAACCTCACCTTCTCTTATAGGTACATGACGATAGCCTTCCCCTTCCTTCCGGGCCTCTCAGCTCTGCGAGCCTTCAGAGCTCTCAAGATGATCGCCATCCTTCCTGGTAACGTGCAACAGCTGCCAGCTTCTGCATTAAGAGTTGGCCACAAATGTGTTCTCTGGTTGTTACCGCGTGGCTGTTCGGCACGATGTGAACGAGACTGGCTCTGGCTCACCTGGTCGAGCTTACAAAGACAAGCAGCGACCGCAGAAAACTTATTTTGACTTTGTGGTCGCTGTTTGACTCTTAACAATATTCAATTCACAACCGCTCGCCCTTTGCTTTCGTTCGAGTGGTGCGGGTGCGATTAGCACGATTGGCTGTGTACAGCGTGAAAGAAGTTCAACATACGTACATACTTGAGTGTGTCTTTGTTGTTTTTTTTTCCCTTCTGATGAATGCATGTGTGTATGTTGAACTTCTTTCGCACCTTACGTAGCACTGAAGACGATCGTGGGGGCCATCTTCAAGTCGGCGGGGCTGCTCCTCAACGTGATGCTGCTCATGATCTTCGCGCTCATCATCATCTCGCTCTTCGGCCTGCAGATCTTCCGCGGTGTGCTGCGTCAGAAGTGCGTATTCCTGCCCAACCCGGGCACGAGCTCCCTCTCCGATGCCGAGTGGAGCAACTACGTGCAAAACAAGTGTAAGCGGGCACTTGACTTTACGTGATTTCGTCGCCGCCATCATCCTCAGCCACGGTCAATCCAATGCTGGATGTAGGCCTCCTCAAGCCAACCACCAACCTCTCATGATCCACAGATGTAATAAAAACAAAACATCTTGAGCAATGTTTTACTGTATCAGGTAAGGCCCACTGAGCTTTATGGCTCTTCTTCAGAAGCGACGTGGCCACAAATGACATCTCAAAGAAAGGGATTATCATATGGAAATGTATAGCAGCCAAATACTGTAAGCGCATGTTTCCAAATGTGGAGGGAAAAAGCGGAGGACCTGGAAAAAAATCCACGTGATCACGGGGAGAGAGACAAGCACACTCCAAAAATACAGGTATCAGGGTCAGGATCGAACCCACGACCTCCTGTATACCAGGCGAGGAAGTTACCATGCAAGCGGACTAATTTCATTGCTGCCTTCTCGGTGGATGTTCCATTCCTTGACTGCCACACTTTGTTATTCTTGACCACTGCCTGTCATCCCTTATGATGCACCCTGCCCGAGCACACTTACTGTTTTTTTTAGTTTTGATGGTGTCATTGATCTGTGTATGTTCTCCAAACCATGTGCTCCTCTCTCTCTCTCTCAATATCACTCCAAGCATGCATCTCTCAATTCTTCTTTGCACATTTTTAAAATGTACGTTCGATATTTCTTATTATTGGTCATGCTTCTAAACCATATAAAATAGTTTATAAGTTGTTGGCAGTGGACAGTAAAGCAAACGCCACTGTTGTACTGTATTATGTTCCAATATCTATGCTCAATACCTTCACCAACCCGCACTTACCATCATGGTGCAGTATGGTAAAATAACCCTCATGACTCACATGGCATGTGGAGGCCCTCATCCAGCAGTGGATCTAGAAATGAACTTTTCACGTACACATATTTGATCGTCTTTATAGTCCTCATTATGAAATTCTGATCCACATCGATATGGGTATTGCTGTTGTTGGTGGTTACTGTCATTTGTGGCCAACTAGCCACATAAATAAAATGACTCCACATATGTGTGCTATTGTCCATAGATAATTGGTGGTCATGATTTCATGATTTCATGACCACCACTAGCAGCATCATCATCATCCTCATCATCATCCCTAAACGTTCGTTTGTACCCGTGGCCTTCACTGTACAACGCGAGTCTGGTTCTCCACATTTGCAGCTCTTTCTTCTATTTACAGCAAACTGGCTGATCACGGACGACATTGAAATCATGGTTTGTGGAAACGGCACTGGCACCAGGTGACTTGTTCTGAGTTTTCTAATTTCACTCGCGATCAAAATTTAACACACTCTCATCGGCGACTACCATGTTCTCTGGTTTATTAAGTGCTCCAGAAAGTAAGATGCACCCCCGATCTCTACCCGGTGTCAATAAACGTACGCAAATCTGATGACAGACACACACACCTCTTGGATATTAAGAGGCATCCTCAACTTTTTGCTTTAAAATATCAGGGAAAGAGTGTCTTATAATTCGGAGAATATGGTAAATGGTAGTATGGAAAACCATTAGTCGTATCGAGCAACATACAAATTACTGGGTAGAGACATGATATGTGCCTCTCCTTGTGGTGTTGTTTCAGTCACTGCCCCGCAAACTACACGTGTTTGCCAGACATCGGTGAAAACCCAAACCATGGTGCGACCAGCTTCGACAACTTTGGCTGGGCGATGATGACCTCCTTCCAGATCATCACCATCGACTACTGGGAGAACTGCTACAATATGGCAAGTGTCATCTCAACGTCGCTGCAATAATAAACGTTTCGTCTATTTTTGTTGTGCATGTAGCTCGACAACACCGCGTGAGTCAAGTTTCCCGTGCTGCTGAGCAACACCTCACTTTGACACGAGTCTTGAGATTTGCTTTGTTGCGCATGCAGCAAGCCCTTTCATCGGCGTCATGTTGTTGTCATGGCAAGACCCAACATGGATACTTTTGTTTGAGTCATGTGGCGGCGTGGAAATGTTTAACCATAAAACTGGATTCATCTATCTTTGCCTAGGTAAATAACGTTCATATTTTTTCTCACATTTTCGCGTTCTATTTAGTTCTCGAATAACCCTTAATAATATAATTCCTAAGCTGAGCAGGTTAAGCCAAACACTTTCACAGGTCAACGGCATAAAATGAGTACCGAGTAGGATGTGGTTAACATCAGCAACGGAATGCGGGCAAGCACAGTGCTGGTCACACCCAGCGGCGTAGTGCGATCGGCATGGACCTCTGTGCACAGAATGAAATGGGCACCTCCATGTCCAGCTTCCTTCCTCTTCGTTCGTGTTCCATCACCCGGGCCTCTCCGACCCACGGACCCTGGTGCAGTTGCACTACCTGCGCACTGAACAGCTACACCACAGATCCCACCACTGCCATGTGTACCTTACCAACATGAACAGCTGCTCACCAGTTCTTGTTGAGCAGGTGTGCCATTGGTGGCACCATCTTGCCTGGTATGCTGTAGGTCGTGGGTTTGATCCCGACCCTGACGCCTGCTGTATGTTTTAAGTTTGGATGTTCTCCTTCGTGTCACGTGGATTTGTCCCCCGGGTCCTCCGGTGTTTTCCCTTCCACAATTATAAACATGCATTTTGAGTATTTGGCTGCTTTACATTTGCACGTGATAAGCCACTTCGTTGAGCTATCATTTGTGGCCAGATCGCTTCTGACAAAGAGCTATATAGCTCAGTGGGCCTTTCCTGGTCAAATCAAAAAATAGTTCATAGTTTTTAAAACAGTTCATAGTTTATTAGACAGCACTTCCCACGAAAGTCCGTACGAACGAGCTTGCGACCTCCGGCCACTCTCTGTGTGACTTCCACGGTCGCAGGTGCTGCGAGCCTCTGGGCAGTACTTCATCGGCTTCTTCATTGTGGTGATCATGCTGGGCGGCTACTACGTCGTCAACCTCGTGCTGGCCGTGGTGGCCTCCTCGTACGAGCGCGAGCTGCGGCACCACCAGCAGCTGCTGGACGAGGAGAAGAAGGAGCGTGCCGAGGCGGAGCGCAAGCAGAGACAGGTGCTGCCGCACCCATCGCATCGCCACGACTGTGCGTTCGCATCGTCAACGCGGCTAATATGATGGTATCTCTAAGGGTAAACTAGAAGGTTAATGTGTGCAGCCCTGCAATTGCTTGCTTTGCTCAGGGTTTCATTTCCTGAGGTCAAAGGTTATACATAGCTCAACATGAATTCCATAAGTGTCTGGTTTCTTCTGTGGTCAGAATAAATCTGAAGTCGACGTTGTTTGACAAAACTCAACAAGTGCTATGACAGACAAATTGACTGACACACCGATAGACGAATGAAACATCTTGTAATACAGATTGACAAGGGCATTGATTAATCCAGAATAGTCTCACTGAATCTCGAGAGTCGGTGTTTCAGGAGAGTCCTGCATTGGCTTGTTTGGCCAGTCGGTCAACTGGCACAGACGGGTTCACGAACCTATTTGCTATAACTCCCACCTCCTGTGGCCACCTTGCAGCTCAGTGGGGTTGTGAGTTTGATACGCTCACAACATACCCCGACAGGTATGTACCACTGCACCCAGAGGTTGATGGCACTATCATAGTTTTACCGCAGTAGAACCCCTGTTAACGACGACCCCTGCTAATAACTAATCACTTAACGACGATCTCTGTTAACAACTAATCACTTAACGGCAACCCCTGTTAACAACTAATCACTTAACGGCGACCCCTGTTAACAACTAATCACTTAACGGCGACCCCTGTTAACAACTAATCACTTAACGGCGACCCCTGTTAACAACTAATCACTTAACGACGATCTCTGTTAACAACTAATCACTTAACGACGGCCCCTGTTAACAACTAATCACTTAACGACGACCCCTGTTAACAATTAATCACTTAACGACGACCCCTGTTAACAACTAATCACTTAACGACGATCTCTGTTAACAACTAATCACTTAACAACGATCTCTGTTAACAACGAATCACTTAATGACGATCTCTGTTAACAACTAATCACTTAACGACAACCCCTGTTAACAACTAATCACTTAACGATGGGCCTCCGTAGAGCCCAATGTGTTCGCTGACTGGCCATTTCCTTGTTAACGACTGGCTGTTGTAGGTACAGTGAATATAAATTAATGCATTGATTAACCATGTTTATTTTAATATTATGTGCACGTTTATAATGTTGTTATTATCTTTATGTATTAATATCCATTGTTTAAATATCATAAAGTATGTTTTTTCAGTGAAAAATGTTAACTCGATGCTATCGGAACAAATTCAGCTTTTAACATGTATTTGCTATACTCCCCAAATGACCAAATGACTCAACGACCGGTTTTGTGGAACCAATTACCGTCGTTAATAGGGGATCTGCCGTACTTTCAGCTGTTTTACAATAAATGCTGATGTTGGTATTCGGGTTAGGTTTTTGGGAGGCTTGCTTGTAAGTTACTGGTAATTATATTCTGTGTCCACCTTTGCAGTTGGCAAGTAATGATTTCCTCTCTTCGCAAGTTGATTAACTGGTACAATGATCAAATTGACAACGCTAATAACAAATCACCTGGTCCCACTGCCATGTCCACAGATCATTAAATAAATCTCATCTTTAATCAGCCAGTTTGCTGCAAGTAAAATAAAGAGTTTGGAACAGGGGGATCCTGTTCCTTTTGTTCCTGTCACCTCAATGACTTTAAACTATTGTGGTGAGTGTAGAATCTCCAAATCATTGAACCATAGGTGTGCGCCACCACATGAGAACTTGTCGTGACCGGGTCACACACCCTCTCCGTCACATTTTCTGAAAGGAACATGTTATGCGACTCTCTTCCACTGTACAACTGAGCCATACCGGGGCTGCGACAAAACTGCCCATGGTGTGAGGGCCCCTTGCTGGATTGGCTCGGATGTGCCGGTGTAAAAAAAAAAAGAGTAACAGTGCTCGAATTCGCTTCTCTTCCAGGTGGTGGAGGCCCTCATGAGCGTGAATAAGGAGGCGCACATGCACATGTCCACCCGGCAATCAGGGGACCTCTCCGTGGACTCCAGCATCTCCCAGGGCCTCGACCACTTGGGCGCAGGCTCCACCTTACAGCTCAGTGGGTGCTCACTTGACAGTGGAACACAATGACCATGGAGCATGGCGCTCCGTGCTTCGCACTTCTACTGTGGTTCTACTTATTCGAATTGTCCTATTGGTGTCATGTTATGAGATGAAGTATCCATTCAGAATTATCCCGGAGCAATGCATCACCCTATAGAATAGCATGTGGACGGCGATTTCGCGAAACTAATTCTGATAAAAAATAAACACTTTAATTATATCCACACACGAGGGGGGCACACCTGGTCACACTCCCAGCTACAGAGAAATGTTCATCGCATGGCAGTTAATATGATAACTTTTAATATCTGAGCTGGAATTTTTCCAAATTAAATGAAAAATATAATTTTAAAAATGCGTTTTGCATTTGTGTGCAGTCATTAATGACCAGGCTGAGACCATCAACTCACTACTCTTGAGAACCCGCTTAACTCCCAGTGGCTGAAATCTGGCTTCAATACCAGGGTCTCAGCAGTGCAAGCACAGTGAGGCTCTGTCCACTGAGCCACCCGGACATCTCCTTGACCTTACTACGCCCACCGATTGCCAGCCATGTTCCTCCCTGCTCCCTCCTGTCGGTGCGCGCAGCCAGGCGCCCTCGGGAGAGACTCGTCGCCTGCCTGAACTCGCTCCGCTGCTGCTCAGCATTCGTGGCCTTCCGGCAGCGCCTGCGCACCCTGGTCACCTCCAGCGTCTTCGAGACGTTCATCACCATTCTCATCATCACCAACACCGTCATGATGGCCATCGACTACTACAATGCCCCCTACAGCAGTGCCCTCGACGTCGGGAATACGGTACCCCGGAATAGGTGGGGCCAGGGGGGGGGGGGGTCGTGGCCATGAAGCCAATCACCCTTCCACTCGGGAGATGAATGATATGCTTCAGCCCCTGGCCGCTAAGAAAACGTCTTGGTTAGGTGGGCAGAGGGAGAATTTTAAATGTGTAGCCAAGGGGATGGGTTAAAAAATAACCTTATGTATACTTATTGTATTTTGTTGATTGTCCTCACAAGCAACAGTTAATTCCAAGTGAAAGCCTTGAGGCCGTGATAAAACGGGGCAATGTTCGAACATTGGCTCCATTTACTGCCCATAGGTCCCTGCCCACCCCTGTGCTACCTGTGCCTGTATGATGAGTCGAACACGAGGCCAGAACATTTTAGAATCCATAACAAAATCCCAATTTTCAGGATGGCTTTGGAACATCGGAATGGATTTCCTCAAAGCCAGCGCTGTTCCATTCCAAACCAAAACATTTGATAGCTGTATCCATAATGCACGATTCCTGACAATTCAGTCCATTGTGGTGATTTTTTTCTGCAGGTGCTGACGACCATATTCATAGCAGAGGCAGTACTCAAGTTGACGGCTCTCTTTCCAAGGGTCTACTTCCACTTGGGCTGGAACATATTTGACTTCTGTGTGGTGATTACGAGCGTGGTGGAGTGGATTCTCGACTCCATGAGCAACACCAACATCAACATCTCCATCATCCGTACATTCCGCATTGTACGTATGGGTTCTGTTCTGCCACCTTAACAATGAGTCCACCACCTCTTGGTTCGGGTTGCCACCTGTGAGATCACAGTCGAAGCGAGACGTTATCGCAGGAGGAAGAATATCCCACACGACCGGAAGAAGGGAGACATATACATAAAGGCGCTCTCTTAAGTGGTGTATTATTATTATTATTACTTCGACGCAGCTGAGAAAAACTGGGACTTTTAACGTCCCGGGAAAACATTACAGCTTCCCCAGGACAGCTCCCTTACAAGGAAGATAATTCCAGGAAAACAAGGACATGTGGCAACCCTACATTTTGTGCTGCATAGGGTGCTGCAAAACTCCCCTTATATGCATTTACTGGGGGGGGGGGGGGGGGGGGGGTACAATTGTAAGATCCTAATTTTTAGCATTCCACAAAAATTAATACAGATAGATATCCGGGTAGTTACCCGCCCCGATTAATGCTGATAATAGGATGAATTTTGCACTACGTTCCAGTGCCTCCTCTTGTATGTAAAAAAATATGCAGTTTCGAGGATGACTATTTTGTTATTTCTGGGCGATCACATTCAGGTGACTCACAGATAAAAGGGTGAATTTGGTCCCACTTCCGGGTGACTCCTCGTATCTGCGGAATGCGGATACTAGGAAGAATTCAGTTATGGATGACATCTGTTTATAATAATAAGAGATAAAGAGAGCTCCCTTTACGTTAGGGCATCTCAGAATGCTTTTCAACCATTAAAACGTCATTTATTGAGAACGTAATTACATTAATTTATTAAAATAGCCGTAATCGTGAGTACTCATATTAGGAGTCGACCCGAGGATTTTCACTGGAACACATCTCCCATCTACCTCGACACTTAAACCTGACGCACAAAACTTGGTGTGCACTCTTGTGATCTGCCTTGATAATGGTGGTAAATGTTTGATGCCATTTATGAAGTAATGCTCATAGGAGCAAGCTGCTTAGCCTTTTCAGAGTTTCCAGGCTTGGTGATTTTTACAGCGATACTCCCTTTGAGTGACAAATCTTGAAAAAATGAATGAATCATTCAGTCGGTGTCCACGATAGGTCCTTTGAAGGATAAATGTATAACATTTGAAACAAAATGTCCGTGATTAAAATGCTCTTTTAGGTATCCAATGCTAAAGTATATTTATATGGTTTAATTAATTTGCTCTGAATGTAGCCGTGCTCAATGCAGGATATTATAGTGGATTAAAAAAAAAAGCAATGGGAACTGCTTTGCCGAGTCTAGATTTACACTCCTCTCTCTCTGCTCCTTTCCTTGCGCTGCTCGACTTAGGAATTCCCTGCCATCACCTCTTTTCCCAAACTCTCATAATCACCCTACTCGATTCAAGAAGCCTATTAACCCTTATTTATGACGTATTCAGCAGCGCTGTTTGTTGCTGGCTACTTGTCGTTTTATGGACCTTTGGGGCATGCGCTCAGCAACCGTAATAATAAAAAAGTAACCCTAACCATGAACTTAATTCGAAACCCAGCTGAGAGTGTTCAAGCTGGCGAAGAAGTGGAAGACGCTCAACCTCCTCATCCGTGTGATGAAGAGCGCCATTGGCGAGATGCGAAACCTCACTGTCATCTTTGCCCTGGTCATCTACATCTTCGCCGTCATCGGCATGCAGCTCATCGGCCGAGACTACTACCACAACCGGGTGAGGAGGATTGCCGCAATTTCATATTTTGCTGTATGGATAGGACATCGTATTTCCTATCCGTATGACGATGACTCTCATTCCTGTATATCAGTTTCCCACGACTTTGAAACTGCAGTTCACATTTTTACTGGGCTGTTTTTGTGCTTCGCTGTACTTCCGGTAAGAATATAAATTACGGAAAAGTTATTTAACCGCAGTTCACTCGACATGAGCCTGCCAAAAATCTCCTAAACATTGCAGCTTAAACAATTATGGCAACTACCAAAATGATAGTACAGGGTGTTTGAAAACGATGGACCCGATTTGAAAATCGCTCTATCTCTGCAACCACGAACCGCCCATGAATGAAACTCTTACCACTTGAAAGGGCGGGGCACAAAGTTTCAATTGTTATTATAAATTATTAAAATGATGCCTCTCCCTGCGCACAAACAGCCCCTAGCCTCAGTCATTCGCGAGACGGTGACCCCGCAACACAAGGGGCGTTTTGCGTTCTGCAGTTCAGCAAGACTGAATCCGTAATTGCGGTGCAGCGTGCGTTCCAACGGCGTTTTGGCATTGATCCGCCAATGTCAAAGAGCGTTCGTCGTTGGTACCGACAATTTGAGGAAACGGGGTGCTGTTTATGTAAGGGGAAGAGCACAGGGCGACCATGCACCTCAGAGGAAAACGTGAGAAGAGAGGCGTTTGGGACGCATTCAACTATCGTCTCGATGTTGTCCGTACAGCAGGTGGAGGGCACATAGAGCATTTATAAAACGGTTAGTAAAACTTGATAACTCATTAAACCGTTTGTAACTTTTTGTGTAATTGTAACATGTTGCCATCGTGAAATATACTGCTTTGAAATTGGGTCCATATTTAAAAACACCCTGTATAATGTGATTGCCTTACTGCCAATTAAGCCAAAACAAATGCCATATATAATAGCTCTTTATGTACAAATGGAAAAATGTAGTTTGTTGCTTCATGTATATTTTGTCAGGAAATACGTTTTTTATTTCAAGAATAATGAAACATACTCTCTGGTTCTTTCGGTAAAGTGACTTTACCGAAAGAACCAAGCAGTATGGATCCCTGCAGTCACGAAATCTTCAAATCAATAATAAAACCAGCAACAATTGCCATGATGAAACGATAGTTTCGGAAAACGGGCGATACAGTTATTGGGGGATCTTATCGTAGCGACACGCTGCAATATCATGTTGACGTGGTGACCCTACGGGCTAGGCTCCACGCTGAGGAGGAGAGCGCTGGCCCCAGGCGGGTGGCCGTGCATCGATGCCGCTCACGCCGCTGCCCTCCCATCCCACGCAGAACAAATTCTCCAGCGGGCAGGTCCCCAGATGGAACTTCCTGGATTTCTACTCCTCCTTCCTCATGGTGTTCCGCGTGCTGTGCGGCGAGTGGATCGAGCCACTCTACGAATGCCTCGTGTGCTCCAACATCTACTACTGCATCCCTCTCTTCATCCTCACCTACATCGTCGGTGGCTTCTTGGTGAGTGAAATGGTTGGGGTTCCCCGCCCCCCCCCCCCCCCCTCATGGTTCGAGAGGCAACAATGTACAGCGCTAGATAGATAATTTGAGTCAATCCGTTTTATTGAATTGGCCAACTTTATGAAAACTTGGGAAAAGAGGTGATATCCGCAGTGTGGTGGCCGCACAGAGTACGGACGTGACGAAACAGTCTGACAGACCAAGTCCTCAACTGTGATTTGAAAACAAAAAGTATTTTTTTTATTTACAAATGTAAATCTACGCCAATTGTTTTCAAGCTTGAACAAAAATATTGGGCGTAATATTGTCAAGCTGCTGCAAAAGACGCGGGGCAATTCTTAACCCCTTCCCGTTCTGGGACTTCTGCAAGTTTCAGGGTGGGTCCTCTTCACCTCTGAATCTCGGAACGTGCAAGCGGCTCAGCGTACATTTTATTTAGAGGCATAGCACCGTTGTTTTTAAAGACATTGTACTCACTGCCGTGAGCTGTAGCGACACGACTGCACTCTATGATAGCTGGCACAAACTGTGCCACGCTCCCTGCCGCTTGGCCTTGTGGGAGCCTCGGTACTGATAAAGTTATTTAATTTAAAAAATTATTCTGGTTTCGTTGTGATGACATACGCATACGTCATTGGAACGGGAAAGGGTTAAAGTCCTCTGTTTGGACTCGCGAGACGTAAAAATGCGCCGATGAGGACGCGTCGGGCTCCGTCTCCCGGCAGGTGCTGAACCTTTTCCTCGCTCTGCTGCTCGCCTCGTTCGGCGGGGACAACCTCAAGGCGAGATCGAGCGGCGAGCGGACGGCGAAGTCGGCGAGCGTGAAGCACTTCCTGACGGGGCTCAAGCCGCGGCGCACGTTCCACGTCTCGACGAAGCCCTCGCGCTTCGGGCGCAGGAAGAAGGAGGCCGCCTCGCGTCGCGGCGAGCACGCTCGGCTCGACATGGACGTTGGCACCTACCATAACCTGCAGCGCAGCAGCGTGGCCAGCGTGCAGGGTGCGTGGCACGGTGTACACAGTGTTTAGTTTATTGTCTTTCCCCCCGTACCACCAATTAACACGGTTGGCCACGTACGGTCAAAAATAAGTTCAATACACATACATACAGTACATAGACTCGCGCAGAGACCCATAGTTTATTGTCCTTCTCCTGCACCTCCAATTAGCACGGTTGGCTACTTTCGGTGAGAATGAAGTTCAACTTACAAACGTACACACACGCACCGGTGTACTATGAACGTTTTTTAAAGTGTAACTTGTCTGAGCCAACCTTGATTTCGGGGAAAAGTATCGTCTCTAATAACGATTTGTGTTTGTGCAGTAGTTTCGATTCCTCCAGGAACGCAGTTCTTCTTGCTCAGATTTATTTTTGCCTTATTGCCGTTCTTTTGACCCAGGCCACTCTTGAGACTCATCCTGGTCTCGTGAGATCTCACCACACACTTGACTTGGTGGCTCCAGGTTGAGGAGGCAATGGAGTAATACGGCTGTATTGTAGTATCTAGGACCTCGTAGTTGTTTGTCTTGTCCACCTAGAATTGCTAATTCTCCACACCACGGGGCGGTGACAGGGCCAAGTGGGACCCCGTGTGCCGCTTGTTGCAGAAGTTTCTGTGTCGACCCCGGTGACCGCCCTGGTTAATAATGCAGGTGTATTGACCATAAAATACCTGGTGCAGTGTCTGCTTCAAAGTGGACATTAAAGATTCGGTGACTTTTATGCGAACAAAAAAAAGGCTCATGTGTGCCGCTGTCAGGGTCAAAATTCGTAAAATTAATTGCGATTTAACCTGATTGGGTAAAAATTGCAGAGCAACATCGCCCATTACCGGCGGACATCTGTGGTAGCTGTTGCACACTGAGAATAGGGCGATTGACTAAATTGTGATGACATGTCCCTCTGCATGACATCACCGCGGCGTGCAGCTACCCAGGATTACATTTACATCGCTCCGGCAAAGCCCTTGGCTCGCCTGGCGAGGACGCCCACGTCCGACGATGTGAGTGCCGAAGTGAGGAACTCCTGGCAGCGTCTGAACGACCTCCTGCACAGTTCCGCCACGGCGGGGGGAACCGCGAGCCTCAAAAACAACTCTGTCATCCTTGACGTAAGTCGCGAAACTCACTGCACAAGCGAAAGTGATGGGTCTGCTGCCTTGGCTAAATTACTCGTCCATTGCAATGCTGTAGATTAGGAGTGCAGTTCCTGATTTTTAGGTTAATCTGGATAGAGAAAAATATCCAAAAATGGAGCCGAGGTACAAAAATTAAGATTTATCCAAATTAGTTTTCATCTGATTCATCCGAAAGTATTATGACACAGGAAGTGACATCACTTACATACGGGTTACGGTCACCAAAGGTGGTGGCACGTGGTCGTCGTGTGATGTCACTTGTCACGAAGACACGCTACATTTTATATTATTTTCAAGAATGCGAAAATCCGAAATGGTCCTTCAAAAACCCACAAATCTAAAATCATAGAATAATTTTTAAATAATTATTGTTAGAAACGGTTTCCTACACGCGGTGAATGCAATGCGTCAACCTTCAGTTCCATTGTATGAAGGGACCAGATCAAAATGTTCGTACTTTGCGGCACTGATGTTGTGGGTAGAAGTGGCCAAAATACTCTTTTGAAATACAGCCCATCTTTGCCTGTGGAATTTTGCCTATGGAATGTTAACACCCTTGTTTTTAGTGACTATTGAAGGACTAGAGGTACAGTATAGAGATGCATTGATCCATTGATTAACATTGATTCTGAAGCTCACAATATGTGCTTGTCATAGTGTGTGTAAGAATCGATGTTTTAATTAAACAATGTACGTGTTGCATGCAAGGCATTCACATGTTCCCCACAGACACATAGAGGCCGCTACATCATTACACTCCTAGTTTATTATCATACAGTACTAAACAACAGATGTTTGGCCAGCAAAGCAACACTCGGGTTGTGTTTATTGGCCCAATCGAGGAGCTTACCAGCAAGGAAATAATCCTACTTGGTCCATGTGTGACAAAATGAGAAATAAATAATCACAAGTAATAAAACCAAGCTGAGCTTGTTATTGACTTTCATAAACAGAGACTCATCCAATTTTCGTTTTAAATCAAATTAAATATCTCCGTACAGTCCCACGTTTAAAAAAGAAAGTTAATTCTGCCATTCTCGATGCTTTGCTTTCGCGTTACCATGACGACCAGCCACCCATGCTGTCGACCTTCCCGTCTCTCTTTACCAAAAGCCGGCCAAGCTGGAGGGAGGCTCGGTCCGCAGCAGCGCCCACAGCCAAGAGTCCAAGTTGTGGAGCGAGGACGACTCCGAGGACGAGTCCGACGCGGAAAGCCACCAGGCCGAGGGCTCAGAGCAGCGCGTCCAGGTGCCGCCGTGTTTCTCCGCCAGCTGCATTTGCTGCTGTCACCGCCAGCGACGTCGCGACTCCGACGTGGAGCGAGCAGTGGGCAGCGGCGGCGGCGACGGAGAAGGAGGAGGTCGGCACGGGGAAGAGCCCTCGGGTGGGGAGGCGAGCACAGGGCGGCAGGGCAGCGACGGAGGCCGGGAGGGAAGCGGTTCAGGGTGCTGCGGTGGGTGCGTGGGAGCGTTCCACGCGGTGAGGCGTATGGTGTTTCGCCTCTGCCATACGACGGGCTTCAATGGGTTAGTGCTCTTCATGGTCATCATGAGCAGCTTCACATTGGTGAGTAGCACTCGGTCCGTGACCGTTTTCACGACACCCACTGTGGTCTGAGCTTCCACCCCACGACTTGTCGACAGAATAGTTCACAGTAGTTCTCGTCAATGGTTACGAACAATTTTAGTGTCAACCACCCAACCCGCATGGTCATCTTGTGCCGGTGCATTGCGCTGGCGTAGCCCAATCACCTTGTGAGCTCGCCGACCTTGGCTGCACAACCTTGGTTGTGCTCGCAGGATGTTTCACTGGATAGGCCTGACAAGGAGACTCCCGGTGCCAACCCCAACCGCCAAACCTACGCATTGAGTTGCCCCACCACCCATCAACCAGGTTTCAAACTGCACCCTCACCATGCATGGGCTCCACTGAAACAATTTGGAACTGGACAAGGGCATTGTGTGGGCAACAGGGCCAGACGGGGCATCCGGGGGAAGCCCAGAGCATGAATGTGTTGGAAAAGTGCAGACTGTCAGGCATACGGTGGAGCAGGAGGATTTCCCTCTGAGTAGACTGGAGGACTAAGAGCACTTAACACTGCAGACAATGACAATGTAGTCTGGCTTTACAAAAACATGCATACGCTAGAATAATAATTATAGGAATGTATTGTATTTTATACTTACATACATTACCATCAGTAATGATCTAAGTGCTATCGGATGAAGGCCTCCTGAAGCCTTTCATCACCTCTGATGGTCCTGCGATGTACCAAGCCATGGCTTCTGCGCTCGAGCTGATTCCATTCGAGTGTCGCATCACGGAGGCCGGGAGAGATGGCAACGACTTGGGGGAAGCCTTCGTACATTCAGTGGAGAGATCATGGATGTTTGATGATAGTAATGATGTATCTATATTTAACTTATTTCGCATGGTATGTAGTCAACCGTGCTAATGGGAGGTGTGGGGAAGGATAAGAAAACAAACACAAAAAAGAAGTTCGAAAGAAATGAGTTATCAAATTTAAATTTAAGAGTGCACAGCTCCAGTAGCTTTCTGATATCGAAAGGAAGAGCATTCCAGATTGCCGCAGAAGCGCATCTGAACACATGTGATGCGGTGACCGTTTTTCTTTGATGGGTGGCCAAAAGCCGCTGCGAGGATGACCGGAGTTCACGTGATAGTTTATGCTCCCTGATGAGATCAGGAAGGTTTTGTGGTTGACTTGTGGCAAGCGTTGTGTGTGTAATGAGTGCGACCTTATAATGTATTCATTCAGCAACTGGAAGCCATTGCAGCTCAGCGAGCACGGGACAATGATTTAATTGTGTTGGCGCTGGCGTGGTTTGTAATGTCTCGTCCCATCCTTCACCGCGTGCATTTGACGCGAGCGCCGCCACGCCTTTGCCCTCTCGTGCAGACGCTGGACGACAAGTACAACAGCAGCAACGCGCAGCTGATGCAGGTGCTCCGCTACATGGATATCTTCTACATGGCGTTCTTCTCCATGGAAATGTTCCTCAAGATGATAGGCCTCGGCCTCCACAAGTACTTCACCAGCTTCTGGACTCTACTTGACTGCTTCTTAGTCTTGGCAAGTGTCCCCCCAGGCTAGTTCCTCTCAATGGCTTAGAGCCTGATGTAGGGTTTCATAAACTGAAGCGTGGAAATTGCCTTCAACATTTAGGACTCGCTTCTAAAATATAGACACGGCCGCCAGTTTTAGTCACCTTGTGATATTGACCATAGGATTATACACTGTCGATGACTCATTTCTTTAGAACTGCTTGTTGTGTCAAGTTTGTTGTCCTTCTTCCTAAACTCCAATTAGCATGGTTGGCTATGTACAGTGCGAAAGAAGTTCAACATGCATATTTAGTGACATAGAATTGGTCATGTAGCAGCATAGCGCTGGCTGCTGGCGGGGAAGGGGATCTGCAGCTTACAGCAGCGCTGACCGACAGCAGGCCACGTGATACACCAGAGAGGGATCTAGGGGAAAAGTCACAGAAGGGGCACACGAGGAACCCGCTGGTAGGTTCCAGAAAGGGGCCGTGGCCGGGGGCGGAGCCAGGCCACGGTGACAGTAAAAGAGGGGCCCCGGGAGGGGACCTCGGGGCTGTCGTGTGGAGTGGGATCCCCGTCGTGCTGCTGCTGGAGTCTTCACCGTTCTTCTCTCGCCGTCTCCGCCTTCACCCTCTCGGCGCCGCCAGTCAGGCAGTCTGCCAGTTGTCCTGACTGGGAACTGTAGTCCGGTATCAACAAAATATTGGAAGTGTTAACTCGTTAGGCCGCGTTACTAAACAGAGTGCCTCCAACTCTTAGTGTCTCCGAGTCAGTCACTACACATACAGTGAGGGAAAAAAGTATTTGATGCCCTGCTGATTTTGTACGTTTGCCCACTGACCAAGAAATGATCAGTCTATAATTTTAATGGTAGGTTTATTTGAACAGTGAGAGACAGAATAACAATAAGAAAAATCCAGAAAAACGCATGTCAAAAATGTTATAAATTGATTTGCATTTTAATGAGGGAAATAAGTATTTGACCTCTCTGCAAAACATGACTTAGTACTTGGTGGCAAAACCCTTGTTGGCAATCACAGAGGTCAGACGTTTCTTGTAGTTGGCCACCAGGTTTGCACACATCTCAGGAGGGATTTTGTCCCACTCCTCTTTGCAGATCTTCTCCAAGTCATTAAGGTTTCGAGGCTGACGTTTGGCAACTCGAACCTTCAGCTCCCTCCACGTTTTTCTATGGGATTAAGGTCTGCAGACTGGCTAGGCCACTCCAGGACCTTAATGTGCTTCTTCTTGAGCCACTCCTTTGTTGCCTTGGCCGTGTTTTGGGTCATTGTCATGCTGGAATACCCATCCACGACCCATTTTCAATGCCCTGGCTGAGGGAAGGAGGTTCTCACCCAAGATTTGACGGTACATGGCCCCGTCCATCGTCCCTTTGATGCGGTGAAGTTGTCCTGTCCCCTTAGCAGAAAAACACCCCCAAAGCATAATGTTTCCACCTCCATGTTTGACGGTGGGGATGGTGTTCTTGGGGTCATAGGCAGCATTCCTCCTCCTCCAAACACGGCGAGTTGAGTTGATGCCAAAGAGCTCCATTTTGGTCTCATCTGACCACAACACTTTCACCCAGTTGTCCTCTGAATCATTCAGATGTTCATTGGCAAACTTCAGATGGGCATGTATATGTGCTTTCTTGAGCAGGGGGACCTTGCGGGCGCTGCAGGATTTCAGTCCTTCACGGCGTAGTGTGTTACCAATTGTTTTCTTGGTGACTATGGTCCCAGCTGCATTGAGGTCATTGATAAGATCCTCCCGTGTAGTTCTGGGCTGATTCCTCACCGTTCTCATGATCATTGCAACTCCACGAGGTGAGATCTTGCATGGAGCCCCCGGCCGAGGGAGATTGACATTTCTTTTGTGTTTCTTCCATTTGCGAATAATCGCACCAACTGTTGTCACCTTCTCACCAAGCTACTTGGCAATGGTCTTGTAGCCCATTCCAGCCTTGTGTAGGTCTACAATCCTGTCCCTGACATCCTTGGAGAGCTCTTTGGTCTTGGCCATGGTGGATAGTTTGGAATCTGATTGATTGATTGCTTCTGTGGACAGGAGTGTGCTCCTAATCTCAGCTCGTTACCTGTATAAAAGACACCTGGGAGCCAGAAATCTTTCTGATTGAGAGGGGGTCAAATACTTATTTCCCTCATTAAAATGCAAATCAATTCATAAATTTTTTGACATGCGTTTTTCTGGATTTTCTTGTTGTTATTCTGTCTCTCACTGTTCAAATAAACCTACCATTAAAATTATTGACTGATCATTTCTTTGTCAGTGGGCAAACGTACAAAAACAGGAGGGGATCAAATTTTGTTTTCCCTCATTGTACAAAAACTATAAACCGCCCTAAAAAACTTCGCAGGACAGTCCCTAAACCCTCCAATATATTATCTCTCCTGCAGGGAAGCAAATGTGAAGGAGTTTAGTTGCAACGCCAGTTGACGTGTATCATGATGTGACTGTGAGCTTCAAAGAAAAAATTGTGCTCGCTATTTAAAAATACGTGTTGCGTGATGCCTGCCTCTGGCCAAAAGACCTCACACGCACTTTATTTATTGGACAGATGGATATGTAATACGTGTAAGCACATACAATACATCAGGGTTATGTGATGGACAGGTGCCACAAAATCCATCATTGTATGCTCTTGCGTCTATGGTCCCCGCATTCAACCCACACTGGCCAGCATGACGATGTATGACCAAATAACCCACGTGACTTGCACGCTGTGCTTCATAGCTTATCGAATTCCTCCAGTCTAAATAAAGATGATTCTGCTGTGAAGGGGGGCCTTCATCCAGCAGTGAATTGACAAAGGGCTCTACACGGACTACACTTCAAGTGTACGAGAGGTGGCTTTCTGAGAGGGATTGTCCAACGTGGCCGTTGAGTTTGAACCATTGGGTGTCTGCTCCCACCAGGTGTCATGGTTGAATCAGCTGGCGAGTGCGGTGCCTGCCCTCAAGTCCCTGAGGTCTCTGCGCACGCTCAGGGCCCTGAGGCCCCTCCGAGCCATCTCCCGGTGGAAGGGCATGAGGGTAAGGCCCTCCCCCCACCTGTCCGTGCTGTTGAATACCAGGTTCATAGCTTTCCTTTTTGTTTGTCCTCTGCCCATAATGGACAACCTCTTTTCTCTCTGTAAAATAAATGCGCCCACTGTTTCTGTGCAGCATCTTGACGTGCCGTCGCGATTGGATGCCTCTTAAATCCTCATTGTATTGGATTGTGATGTAGAATTATGGTATGAGTGATATGCGAGACTGTAGAGTACTTTAGAAATTATCTTTTTTTATTTCTGACTTCCACAAATACTGCTGGGTTGCCAGATGTAATTGGCAAGAGCATTCGATAAATCATGAAATACAATAGTTGTAGAGTATTTGTTTGGCAAGCATGACTCTGCTAATGAGACCCATGAAGTTGACACTGGTCCAGACTTTGCTTGTGTTATTATCACATGCTGTTGGGTAATAATGGTGTAGAATGTCCACAGTCTACCAGATGAGCGCATTTTTACATGGAGAAATAATGGATCCAGCTTAATTTATTTATTTTGTTACCCATAATGCTCCACATCAGCCTGCAACAAGTATGTTTCTGAGGCTGCCAATGTATCTCATGGCTCAGAACTCTGAGCCAGCACTGCTGAGAGCTCTGGGTTAATATCTGGGTTTCAGCCACTGCTAAATAAAATCGGATTTGCAAGTGCATTGACTTTATTGTTTCTCCGGACAGCACACACAAATAACCGACCACGTTAAGTTTGGTGTTTCACTTCACTTGGTTAATTCCAATTCTGTGAATAATAACAAACAAATCGAATTATGTAAACAAAAGTCTGGTAGTTGTAAACATGAAGTCGTGACAATGCTGGTGTGCCACACCCTTGTTGTCATGGATGAATATTTCAAATTGGCTGTCATGAGACAGACGTCTTGATAGCAGCGTGTAGATCAGAGATAGTTTAAAGGGATCTCAGAAGCACTGCAGTGATACCTGCCTCGGCAGGCAATTCTCTAACACAGGGTGAGGCACTGCTGTACCAGAGTTCTGAATGGACCCTTGGTCTCATGGCAAGGACACCGATAGCACAATTCAAAACAATTGGCAATAATATTTTTTTTCTTTCTTGTTTTAACTAACGATTAACTAATGTTATTATAGCAGGTTAGGCCCACTGAGCTATATAGCTCTTTTTCAGAAGCAAACTGGCCACAAATGAAAGCTCAACGAAGTAGCTTATCATGTGGAAATTTATATCAGCCAAATGTATGTTGAACTTCTTTCGCACCGTCATTAGCCAACCATGCTAAACGCATGTTCCTAAATGAGAACATGCAAACACCAAATATACAGGCGTCAGGGTTGAACCCATGGTCTCCTGCATTCCAGGCGAGGGAGTTTACAGCTCGCCATGGTGGCGCCACCGTGGAATTTTCGTGCTACTTGAGAGAAAGATGGCACATCACTGCAGGAATTTATTTTGGACTTGAGATGGCACTGTAACCAGTAAAAGGAAGCGATAAGCGACTTTCACAAGTCATTCGTCACACTCCCCTTTGCAGCCTTTGGCGATTGAAATATTTTTTGTTTAAATTACCATTTGCTGATAATTGCCCTTGATATTCAAGAGCCTTCAAAGCAAATATGCACGCACACTGCGGCCTTTTTTTATCTTTTGTGTCTTTCAAATTTACCCATAAAAAAACACTTTAAAGGGATCACACGTTGGAATGTTTTTATAACCGGTCAAAAGTACCATTTACCAATCTAGCCTTTTTCTTCCCACACGCATGAAGTATGAAAACAAGACATATAGCAAGCAGCAAGCGGCAGCAGCATGCAGCGGCGGCGGCCTTACGATGAGCAGAACTATTACCGCAGATGGCGTCGTTGTTCACTATCGTCTCCCTTTACGTTTTCATTTATTTACAAGTCTCGTTCCCCGCGTGCAGTTGGTGGTGAACGCTCTGGTGACCTCCATCCCGTCCATCTCCAACGTCATGCTGATGTGCCTGCTCTTCTGGATGGTGTTCGGCATCGCCGGGGTGCAGCTCTTCGGAGGGAAGTTCTTCCGCTGCATCGACGCCGAGGGCAACCGCCTGCCGGCCACGGAGGTCGCGAACCGCACGGTGTGCGAGAGCCTCGCGGCCGAGGGCTACCTTTGGGTCAACGCCATCATCAACTACGACAACATCCTCTCTGCTTACCTGGCTCTCCTGCAAGTGGTAAAGGTGGCAGCGGCAGCAGGGAGTTGCCCTCCTCCCCCCCCCCCACCGCCAGCGCTGGCTTCTTTGTCGTTTTGACAGCGGAAGAGAGATTCATGTCCAACGAGTCTGTCCTCGAGCAAAAATGTTCGCGGTGTGGCTGGACGCATTCGGTTTGTTTTGCGGTGTGAAAAAACTAAGCTTAATCTGTCCGGCTGCGAGCCGGTCAGTTGGTCACAGTACTTGCTTTGATTAAATTTTGGTCACAGAGTCAAGAATTGGTTCACTCTGACCAGGAGAAACCAGGCACCCATAGTGTTGAAGTTGAGTCATGGTGGCGTTGATGATGAGCTATGAACCAGGGACCTATAGCAATGATGATGCATTATTCAGTTTAACACGTAGGAGGCTTTCGTGACCTATATCATCTATAATATAGCTTTTTTGGGGTTAGATCGCGTAAATATAAATGTGTCATTAAACCCGCCACCACCCGACACAGCCAATTAGTAAGGTTTGTCACGTAAACAGAACATACCAATTCGTTACTAGTACAGCACACCGGTTGTGTTGGAGAGCAAATCTACAAAATTTACAATCACAGTACGACGTTTCACCAGTAATTATAACTAGCATCTTCAGTCGGATGATATTATGGATGATGAATAATGTGCAACCTGTGACCTTTGACCGAGATTAAAAACAATGACCATTCTTTATTTACTTTAACGCGTAGGTGTTTATGACCAATAGCGTGATTCGTAATTGTGTTTTGAGTTAGATTTTATAACTAAATAAAATTGTAAAAAAATACCATTATTTGGATTGTAACTTATGTAATCCAATAGTTTACCAATTTTTTCATCAACATTTTTATTTTGCTAATGTTCCATCTTTTAAACCTCATCAGGCTTCAGGTCACTCATGCAGTGCAGTTTTATTAAGTTATAATTTATATCAAATTAAAGATAAAGGCCGCTACAGGCATTCCTCAATATACAGAACGGATACGTTCCTGGAAAGTTGTCCGTTTAGCGAAATTCCGTAGATCTCACCCTATTTTCCCATTGACGCCTGTTACAGAGTTAATCAAAATAAGTCACGGGAAATCAGTATAGTGTGAAAAACACACAAACCACCTAGAGCCGCATCAAGCGCAAATTAATAGTTTAGGAATTCAAAATTTCTGAAATGCAAATTTAATGTACTTCATATCGAATTTGTCCCCTTAATTTATAAGTTACGTTACATCGACATTCCATGAAGTTGACGTATAATGAGAGATGACTGTACTGCTCCTGACTTATTCTGCCATAGTTCAGTTGCTTCAGGTGAGGAGAGAGAGATGATGGCCATGTACGCAGCGGAACCTTTCTCTGAGTGTCATGTTAATGCTTTGACAGGCCACGCTCGAAGGGTGGATTGAACAGATGGCGGATGCCTCGGATTCGACGGGGGTAAGCCCACTGCCAAGCGCATGCCTCACTCTAATTTCGTTTTAGTGGCGCAATTTGTGCATTCATTTCCAACGAACAAAGAAATATACCGGGTAATGAAGCACCACATCCTAGTTACACAACACGACCGCGACTTGACCGGAGTTCCATTCCAGTGTCACCGTGCAGTAAGAGGGGGCCACCTTTTAGGTCGACTAGGCCAAAAACTATTGTCCCCGACAAGGACCCTCTTGTCAGGTCGACTCAACCTGCAGTGGGTGCTCTCTCTGAGGAGTACCCTCGGGTCAACTCAACCCCGAACCGACGGTGCTTGCAAGTGCTCGGGGAAAGATAAAAGCATTTGAGCGCAGGGAACGGTTTCTTTTGCCCGAATGTGCTGTGCCCAAGCTCAAGTGCCCCGCACGCACTCACTCAACTCGCGCACGTGTTTACACCGCCCTGCCTCCGACACGCTCCATCGTAGCTCACGACCGAAGCATCTTCTCCAATTGCCACTGCGTGATTTTTTTTGGTTGTTGTTTGTTCTTGCTTCATATCTGCGAAACTCGCTTCGGTGGGCGAAGGGAGGGTATAGGGGGAAATAGGCGAGGGTGGGCGGGGGGAAGGGGGAACGTTATATATATATTAAAAAAATAATTGTGAAAACATCTTCAATTCGCGCAACAGCGCTTGGGTTATTTGCGCTGCAAATGGCACGTGACACCGACACGAGGCGACGGCGTCTTGCACGCGCGCCGCTGATAAGCGACCTCATTCTGACCTGAACCAAGCGTGCCTGCATGTAATTATCTCGAAAGTTAAACACTGGGGAGAGTGAACTGGAGCGAATGCTACTGAACAGTGACCTCAGACTCGGTAATCAAGTCTACATCGTTCAATCAAGGCGGTGATGCCAAGAGCAGGTAATGGACTATGAACGTGAATGAGTCAATGTTTGAATTGCAGGTCGATCAACAACCATCTTACAATGCCAACATCTACTCCCAGATGTTCTTCATCATATTCGTAATCATCGGATCGTTCTTCATCCTCAACCTCTTCATCGGAGTTGTCATCGACAACTTTAACTCCGTGCACAAGAGGGTAAGCCTCTGATTGCATTTGCTTCCAGTGAGGCAATCGCCCAAAAATGACCTCTTTGTTCCCTCCGGTGATTAATCCACACGCCAACCCAAAACATTGTTAATGCAGCAAATCGATTCACTTCCATTACATTATACGCTGTCATAGCGGGGGGGGGGGGGGGGTGGAGGAGGGGGGGGCAGGCGGGCTGTTTGTTTCAGACGCCCATAGGAAGAAATTATTTTGTTTTGAGAACCTTATTTGAGAATGTGTTTGCAGCAAGTTATTTTATTGAAGGGTTGCCTGGGGAAGTGGGGCACGGGGGGAAGTGAGGTGAGCAAGAGAGCAAACGCGGTCATTTTCATCGCACTCTCTGTGGCGCGCACGTGAAAATAAATAAAAATCGCTCGCGCTGCTCCGTGTAGCGGTAGATTTTTGAGGAGCCAGCCTGACCGGCGTGATTTCATTTTAGTCCGCCTTTTTATTGAGGTGTTGAGAATTCACGCCGTCAGCGAATCGGCGGATTTTCACGATACGGGCCGCGGTGCAAAGCAAACAGTGGACGCTTGCCTCGTTTTCACCGCCCCGTTTGCATTCTCAATGTTGCCCGCGACGTTTCGCACGATTCCGTTTGACCCACGAGCCGGTCGTTGCTCGCGTTAAAATGTTGCGGCTTGCACGCGCGCGCACTTCGATGCAATGCACCCTGCGTCTTAAGAGTCGACTTTGATTGATTATTGAAGCGACGCGTCGTCCCACGCTCGCATATTTGCATCCTCAAGCCGTGCCTGGTCACTGTCCTTCGCGATTGTTTCAGTCTCACAAGGAAGGTGCGCTGATGGCACTCCTGACAGAAGATCAGCAGAAGTTCTACAAAACCATGCGACGGCTGTACAGGAGCAAGCCTTCCAAGAGCATCCCGCAACCCCAGGTCTCCACTGTCACGCGGCACGCTAAACCGAGCGCATGGAAAAGCAACGGGCTGCAGGGGGTTGGTCATGGTGGTTTTAGCGTACTGCGATTCGAACTCAGAAACCTAAATGCGATACCCAACCATTGCCCGCATCAGGGGCGAGTGATGTCTTAATTGATGCCGTCACCAACCCTCACTTCACCAGCCAACGCTGTCCTGTGTGGTGAAGTATGACTAAACAATCTCCGTGACCAAAAAGTACGCGGAGGTCTTCGCTAGTGGATTGATATGGAACTGATAACTGCTATTATCAGAATCTGTATTTAGACTGGAAGAATCCGATAAGCTATAAAGCTCTTTTTCACAGATGTCCAGGAGTTTACAGATGTCCAGTAGTATAGATACCACTATAGCAGGGGGTGTGCTCGAGTTCTTAGATTAAAGAGGAAAATTCCAAAATGATCCCCTTGATACGAAATTCTGGACGTTCAGAAAATATCCTTATTTTACCTATTTGAATCCAGAGGTGTCATCATGGACATGACGTCACTTCTGCTCTTTTACCACCAAAAGTAGTGTTGTGTGGCATCATGTGACATTACTGTTGCTGGCACGAAGACATCTTACACCCCTACCCATTGAAAATGAGCCAAAAAAACCCAAAAGTATCTGAAAATTGGCAATTTTAAAAATCAGAAAAATAGGAAGCTACCTTTTAAAAATGCTAAATTCATCCCAATACTGAGGTATCCTGATGGAGAAACAGTTCCGGGATTTGGAATTTTTTATTTCTAGTTCATTAAATTGCATCGGCAAAGGGTTACTGTAAGACGTGTGTCTAAGGTGCTAAAGGTGTCAACGTGAGTCCCATGGAGTGATGCCAGCTGAGAGCTGACGACATGAGGGGCACGCCACGGCTCCGCAGCTCTTCTGCGACATCATGCAAGCATCAGAATCAGAATATTTATTAATACTGGAGGAATCCGATGAGCTATGAAGCTCTTTTTCCACAGATGTCCAGCAGGAGGGGGTCAGCAATACAAAAACACGATAGAAATGCAAAGTTTTCGAAAGGTAAACAAAAAATATATACAAATAAAACTAAACTATGTTCATGTTCCAGAAACGACCTGGCCACAAATGATGGCTCAACGAAGTGGCTCATCATGTGGACATTTGGAACAGCAAAATATAACGTGCGGCGAGATGAGTGCTCTTATTCCTCGAGATTAGCCATTGGATTTCAACACAACGGAAGCATTTGTTTAGTTTTTAATGACTCAGTCGAGGTTACCTCGCTTTGTTACCTTAAAGTATAGCCGCTAAGGTTTCGGGCACTCAAGTATAAGTTAAGCGTTGCGTGAAGCTCTCCGAGATGCTTATTGTGATGCGAATCGAGCTCCGTAAATATCGGTCGCTCGATCGAGTGGCACGCGAGCAGCAATGGGCTGTTCGTCGTGGGACCACGTGGTGTCGTGGGACGACGTGGTGTACGTACGCGTGTCGCGTACGTACACCACGTCGTGGGACGGCGTGGTGTCGTGGGACGACGTGGTGTACGTACGCGCGTCGAAATTCGTCGGCGCCGTGCGTTGCCAACCGTGCTCATCGGAGTGGCTCATCGTGGTTCCGCCGCGACTCCCACTTTCAGAATCGTGTCCTGAGGTTCTTCTACCTGCTGGTGCACCGCCGGCTCTTCGAGTACATCTCCACTGCCGTCATCTCCCTCAACATGGTGATGCTCGCTTCAGAGCACTACAAGCAGAGTGAAAGCTTCACCAACATTACCAAGATCATCAACCTGGTATTCACGGGCCTCTTCATGCTGGAGGCTGCGCTGAAGATCCTGGGGAATCGAATCCACTACTTCCGCCAGCCGTGGGACATCTTTGACTTTTTTGTGGTGTGCATCTCCTTAACAGGTACAGCGCTGATCGGTGGTCAGTTCAGCTGTGCGCTGTCTGTTTAGTCTGTCTGTGGTGTCCACGACGTCTGCCTGCAATGTCTGTCCATGATGTGTGTCCGTGTTGAGAGTCTGTGATGTCAGTCTGTCATGTCTGTGAAGGTTGTCTCTTGATGTCCGTGATGATGTCTGCGCATGGTTGTGTGTAGTTCATTGTGGTGCCAAGAGTTTGAGCAGTTTTGGAACAATGCACGACAACATATTAAACGTGTGTAAGCACGCATTTAGGTTGTAATTTTTCGTTGTACTTTAATTTTCCTACTAGTTAAAATTTCTATTTGTGTTCATGCATTGCACCCTGTATATTGCCAACAGTTGTCGGATATAATTGCTGCTGTGCCTGCTATTATTAAATTACTGTGAACAGTAATGGATTTGCTTTGCTGGGGTGGGAAGACGTTTCGTAGAAATAATCATGTTAAACTTGTAATAATATTGTTATTTATCCAACAAATCTCACTCGGCCTCGGATTATTTTCACGAGCATCCTGCATTGAGTGTTTGGCGAGTACCAGAGCACCCAGAGAAACCCCGCTCCGATGAGGGGGAAATACTCAGAGTTACGCACAGATGATTAAAAAACATCAATCTCTGTACTGCAGTCTCCTGGCCAACTCGTAGCCCAAGCATGCAACACCTGGTATTCCCATGCAGTTTCCCATCCAGGTACTAACCAGGCTCAACTGATGAGAATGGGCACATTCAGGGAGATGTGGTTATGGAGTCAAATAATTATATGGGCCAAATTGACCAAAACTAACAATTGCTCAAAAAATTCTGAGTAGTAATGAGGTTTGAGCAAACGTGTGTGTGGGGGGAGAGCGGTAGTGTAGTGGTTAGCGCGCTTGCTATGAACCCGGAGACCCGGGTTCAATTACTGCTCACGGCCAACACCAGTGCCTACTATTTGAACCTGTTCTGGGCCTCCCTTAAGTTGACTCAACCTCAAATGAGTACTTGGTATGGTGTGAAACACCACTGGAGAGACAAAGGTGGACCGGGCATGGTGCTTGCCACCCAAGTCTGTGTAAGTGTGTGTGAGTGTGTGAGGGGGATGGTGAACTGCGCTACAAACCCAGCGACTTGAGTTCCATCCTGGGCCAGCATCAGTGGCGAATATCTGAACTAGTCCTGGGTGTCCGATAGCTCCACTCAGCCTTAAATCAGTGCCTGACGTGGTGTGTAAACATAGGCATTCATGAGACAGAGGCCTCGCTGACACCACTTGCCCCAAGAGCTTGCTGAAGGCCACGCGAGGGAACTTCGCCTTGCTCGTGGCGCACAGCAAACCGCCCTCATCGCGTTTGTGTCCCTGTCCGCAGAGATCGTCCTGGAGACCATGGCATCACAAGTTAACTTCTCGCCGGCGATCCTGCGCGTGTTCCGCGTGGTGCGGCTCGTCCGCCTGCTGCGCCTCATCCGCTCCGTGGAGGGAATCCGCAAGCTCATCTACACGCTCGTCATCTCGCTGCCAGCCCTCATCAACATCGGCCTCCTCCTCCTGCTCATCATGTTCATGTACGGCGTCCTCGGAGTGAGCATCTTCCGCGATCTGCCCTACAGTGGCTCCATCACCAACATGGTGAACTTCGAGACATTCGCCAACAGCATGACGCTCCTATTCCGGCTCAACACGGCCGGAGGCTGGAACGACGTCATGGGCTCCGTCCTGGGCACCAAGACGCAGAACGCCATCCTCGTCATCGCGTATTTCACCACCTTCGTGATCTTTAGCAACATCATCATCATAAACATGTACGTGGCCATCATCCTGGAGAACTTCAACGAGGCTCAGGAGCAAGAGGAGACGGGGGTGACGGACGACGACATCGACATGTTCTACCGCGTGTGGGGGAAGTTCGATCCGTTGGCCACGCAGTTCCTGGCCTGCGAGCAGCTGCCCAACTTCTTCGACGCGCTCAAGAGGCCCTTCCGCATCCCCAAGCCCAACACGGTGAAGATCGCCGCCCTGCAGCTCGCCATCGTCGAGGGCAACAAGGTGCACTGCCTCGACGTGCTCAAGACGATGACGCGCGTCATCTTCGGGCGCGTGGTCAAGACGGAGCACCTGCGCCAGCTCAGCAGGCAGGCGCAGGAGAAGGTGATGCGGCGCTTCCCGCTCCGCAGGATCATGCACGTGGTGAGCACCACGCTGGCGCTGCGGCGCGAGGAGAAGGCCGCGCACGTCATCCAGCGAGCGTTCCGCCACTGGCGCGGGCACCAGGCGCAGGAACCGAGGGGGTGCCGCACGTCCCTCCGCTCGCGCCGCGGGGGCGGCTACCGCGAAGGCCCCAAAGGCGCCGGCGCCGACTCCACCGGAGGAGGGGGAGGAGAAGGAGGAGCGGGGGTTGACTTCTCGGAGGTGGTGAGCTGCTGCAAGGTGATGAACGGCTGGAAGGTGAAGAGCTTCGCGAGGCGCCGATCCACCGTCAGGGATGCTACGTGAGCGGCAAGGCGTGAGGAGTTGGGCACGAGCGCGTTCAACCGTCGAGCGATTAAACGACGCTGTTAATGAAGAGTGCGACAGGGCCGCGCTGGTTTCAAGCTGTATTTACTCTATAATAGAGGTTTTGGGGTTAGATCGCGTAAATATATCAAATGTGTCGTTAAAACCCGCCACCACCCGACACGGCTAACTAGTAAGGGTTGTCACGTAAACAGAACGTGCCAATTCGTCACTAGTACAGCACACCGGTGTGTTGGAGAGCCAAGCCACAACATTTACAATCTGAGTACGACGTTTCGCCAGTAATTACAACTAGCTTCATCAGGCGACACATTGTATGGTTTTAATGACACATTTTATATATTTACGCGATCTAACCCAAAACTCTCTATTATGGATGATATTGGTCGCGAAAGCCTACGTGTTAAACGTTTCACACCTGATGATGATTGCTTGTGTTGCAGTCGAAACGTCGTGATAATTTTATTGTTTTATATTTTTATTATTTTATTGTTTCCCTTCTACGTGACTTTACCGAAAGAACCAAGAATATGTGTTAAACGTATTTACTCTGTTTTTAAAGTGTGGAATTTAAGTGCAATGTGTGTGCGTGCGAGTGTCTATATTTGTATGCTGAACGGACGTAGGCCCAGTAATTAGTTTGTCTACAGAAATTAAATGTACGCATTCTGTTTGATTCAATCCCGTTCTTTATTTGATGAATTTCCACATTTCGGAGTCATGGTTTGATTCAACCGTCCCGTTTTTTGCGTCTTGTGGATTGTAGTCTCGCTCGTGCTGTTCATAGATTTTTTTGTGCATCTCGTCTGTACGATTTTGCTTGCTATATTAGCTTAATTGCAATATTACCAAAACAATACATAGGCTAAGTGATTTCTTGCATCATAGACAGACATCAGGTGGTGCATTTTTTTCTTACAGCCCTGAGCCAGTGGTGGAAATTCCACATTCCTATGACAAGAGTGAAACAATCCATACATAGGACAGCCAATGTTGAATTTACACAAAGTGGTCCCCATTGTATCGATTACAGAGGGATGATGGGCTGAATCAACTTCCAACCAGGATTCTTTTACTTCGCACGATCTGATTGTGGTCCAATCGCTATACCACTGAGCCACCTAGCCAGTTGTGTACAATTTCCTTAAACAATAAATGGTCGATAATTGTCACGTGCACAATTCCACTAACGTTACCCAGTGCGTGCACACCCGCAGATGCAATCGTGGTCGTGCATTGTACTGCTGAGGACACTGCCACGACTACACAGATGGTAGGCTTCTCATCCAATCCACAGAGTTATCTTCTTTCAGCTTACTGGATATTAGCACAGAGAGGTTCCAGCCTACCAGGCCTGAGTAAAGGCTTTTCACGGTCACTGCATAGGTGACACGGTGAAGCTGACCTTTGTGATTATTATTATAAAGCTAATAGGGAAACAGTGATGTTGTTTCCTCTATTAAAGCACGTCATTGTCCTTTGTTGGTAATCCAAGATGTGCAGACTCTCGGGCAGGCGCGGAGTTGGGGGTGGGGATCAAAATAGCTGCCTCGGGCACAAAATCTGCGAGAGGCGCCAACAATTGTACAGAGTACGACCACGTCGGGTTTTTTTCTTTTTCACTTAATTTTACAGATGCGTCACAAAGCGTGCATGTAATGAGTATCAAGACAAAGATCCCCCGTGTAGCCTTAACAGACCGTTGGGGCAAGTGCTGTTCGTGTGCCATGCCGGGCACGGCACACGAAGGAGTGGGTGGCCAGCAACCACGCCCGGCCGCCTTTGTCTCCTTCGTGGCGATATTTACACATCGCACCAGGTACTCATTTGAGGCTGTGTCGACCTCGGGGAGGCCCAGGACCGGTTCAGAAAATCGTCACTGGTGTTGGCCGTGAGCGGGAATCGAACTCGGAGCGTCGGGTTCCTAGCGCAGCGCGCTCACCGCTCCACTACCGTAATGAATAACACACACACGTGAGTCACATGATTAATAGCACACACACGTGAGTCACATGATGAATAACAAATGGCAAAAGTTTGTGGGGCTTTTACCAAAAGATGATTTTCACGGGGCACAACATTCTTTATTCACCCACAGGACAAATTTACATTTCAGCCTAGGCCTGCTTCCAGACACAAACACAGGCCTGAAAATTATATCTATAATATAATCAAGCAAATTGGTTGCTCTTGGTGGAGTGGGTACGCAAAGTTCCACGCACTGCACGATGAACCTGGCAACCTGAGTTCAATTCCCTGGCATGGCCAACTTCGATTGAGAGTCCTATACGCACTAACCCGCACGATGAAGTTATGGTCAAATAACCACCATTTAACCGAAATAGCACACACACATACACAGAAAGGCCTTCATCCAGCAGTGGATTAACAAATTGACTCTGGGTAGACCGCCCAGCTGAAATGTTCTCGCGTCAACATTGCTTTTCAACACTTGTCGAGAGCTTTGCGAACTGCCACTTTTGGTGCCAATCCACTGCACGAGAAGCGGACGACGCTGCACCTCGGGGGGTGGGTGAGTGGGTGGGTGCGGGGGGAAGCTTCCGTGCGCACAAGCGAAGCGGGCGCCGAGTGTCTGTCCGGAGAGAGACGTTATTCTGTGCACACGCGACGGCGCTCTTTGTCACGCAAGCGATGGCCTCGTGACAGCGCGAAAATATTCCACTGCTCAAATTCTAAGAAGCGTCCTGGAGGCCACGCTGCTGTCTCGGAACCGATGCATTGGTGAGTCGGCGTTCACTCCTCGTGCCAACTGTCCACGTCATGCCTGGAGTTTGCTGGTTATTTCTCTCGCGTTGGCGTTACAATTGGTAATGTATTTATTTAACAGCAGTCGCGGCCGCCAGAGGTGACGCTCATGGGTTAGCCCATGACCTTTGTGAGTCGGGCACATGGTACAAAAACACTTATCTTGATACCTGCGATTCATTGAAATATGAATGTTTGTTTGGCCTTCATTCTGCCTTTAACTCGAGAGTCGTAAATAACACAAGGATAAGCATTTTAGGAAACATCTGCTCGAAAAATCCCGTTTTCCATGATACGCGTTTGTGTTTTTTTTGAGAGGACATGACCTGACCTGGAAAGCGGGCGAAAACCTTCATTGGAGGGAACGCCTCGTAACAGCTGGGAAATTAAGATAACAACAACAACAATACGTCATGAATGCGACTCATCTGCTGTGTTTTACCAATGCACGTTAAACCGCCTCGTCCACGAGTAGCCTGCTACATGCCCTCCTGATCATCCCTAAGTATGGTGAAGCCGATATTTTGCTGTCACGTTGCATCCTCCTGCTGCCTAATGATCGGCCACAACCTCAGCTCTGTGCGGCTGACCGTCCGTTCTTGAAGACCGCAGGGGACGTGCACTCACCGAGAGAGTTATGGCTGGTGTGTGTATGCTGCGTGTAGCGTTGTGTACGTTTAGTTTAGCCGTTTATCTATCTAACGGAGTGGACAGAGGTGGGCAGCAGCGGTTCGCACATTGCTCCACAAACCTGGCCACCTCTCCTGAGTTCAATTCCCCGCCATGCCTGAACATCACGGGCGGGTGACATCTAAACCGGTCCTGGGCCACCCCTTAAGTCGACTCCACCTTCCATGAATGAGTACCTGGCGTGGCATTTAAACATTAGCACTGTACATCCTCACGCACTGTGCTGGCCTTAGTAGGTGCGCGCTAATAACATTCACCCCCAAAGTATATACGACGATGCGAGATATATTCGTGGTGAAGCTGTGGAGCGCTGCCTATTGTTTTAAATTGGGAGGCAAAACCGCACAGAAAGCGCAAAAGATTCCCAATGCTTGCTTCTCACAACGGCATCCAACGCACACACACACACCCATTGTGCGGAGCAAGGTGACACTGCAGGACCACATATGGTTGCCACCTGTCCTGATTTTCACAGGATCGTCGTCTTGTTGAGGTAGCTGGCCTGGGACGTCTGTAAGTCTCCCCGGGGACATTTTATTCAACATTCCTGGGTTTTTTTTTTCCACTTGCATAATGATGATGATGATTATTATCCACAGCTCATTTACGTTTGGTTCCATCCTCTGGTATCTTGAAATACCGTATTCTTGACAATTCCCTGTTGCACTTCTGAGATGACAACCCCTAGGGTCATATGACGTGTTCACCTGGACTCGGGGCACATTTTATTCCCGTTAAGGGAGATGCAACCCAAATCAAACAAGTAGCGTTGTCTTGCAAATACAGTTACGTACCATGCTGTCTGACATGAGTTTGGAGCTTTAACGATCATAGTAAAGACTCTAAAGTCATGGACAAGTGTGTAGACATGCCATGCTCTGTATTAGAATGCATGCTTATGGCTTTTTTCTTTCACGAACAAAGATTCCAATTCGTGTTAGGCAAACCCAGGGACAACATAGTCTGGAAGTATATACTCAAGATAGGATGCACGTCTTGGCTGTGTCTGCCTTTACGCAATTAGAAAGTGGAGGTGCAGCCCTGCAAGAGCTTACTCAAGCCACTGCAGGTTTGTCCACTCGGTGGAGCTCCACGGAGCCCCAATCGGTGGCTATTTTTGTTGTCCCCTTTCATGCTGATCCAGATGACTTGGAAAGGATCCTTTAAGTAAATGCATGCATCCACCTGGGCTGTAAAACGTGGAAGTGATCGGCAGGGGTGAGGACAGATGAATTTACCACCGTTGGCACAGATACATGGCTTGTTCTCTGTTTTAACGGAGAAAATACTGCACGTACATTAGAAATCTTTTTCTCGTGAAACGCCGTCTTAAAAAAAAACTACGGCTTATTTTTAGCGCAGATAGTTTGCAGTTCTAATCCAGTGTTAGTGCTTACGGGGGTGAAGTATTTTCTATTTTCGGGGTGATGCAACGTATCCTGAAGAATGTGTTTTGTGAAGCCCCGCGGTGTGTTTTGGTTTGTCTAGCGCTTGGCGTAACGGGTCGTTTTCGCTGTGGGTGTTTCATCATTGTCGGGGTACGTTTTTTTTCTTTCTCCATGACATTTAAAATAAAGGCTTTGATTCCTCATTTGGATTACGAGCGTCTGTCGTTTAAAGTAAACCGGTACACGTTTCACCTGAAGATCGGAGAATCTGAAAGATTTGGCGAGCGCCGAATCAATAGCGAGTCAACGATCGTG